AGCGCCTGCCAACCTAGCAGTTCGAAAGCACCCCCGGGTGCAAGTAGATAAATAGGGACCGCTTACCAGCGGGAAGGTAAACGGCGTTCTGTGTTCTGTGCTGGCTCACCAGATGCAGCTTTGTAACGCTGGCCACGTGACCCGGAAGTGTCTCCGGACAGCGCTGGCCCCCGGCCTCTTGAGTGAGATGGGCGCACAACCCCAGAGTCTGTCAAGACTGGCCCGTACGGGCAGGGGTACCTTTACCTTTACCTTTTATATTCTGGAGCTATTGTTTTAATAACAATGACCATTAGATTACAGGTTATTGGACAATCCTATTCAGAGATGGGTTCTGCAAGTTCAAAATTGCCTGACCCAGCCTGTGAGGTGTTCTATCCTTTCTTAATCGTGGCAATCTTTTTTACAGTCCCTGTTCCTATGCCTCATAAAGGCATAGGCATTTGAGAAGCAAAACCTTTACCTGGTATGGAGATGCTTTCAGGAAATGCTATGCCTGTTCAGTGTCTGTGTAAACTGCTATTGAAGGCAGAGGAAGTAGACCAGATTAGGAAAAACCCAACCAGTGGCATACAAACACCTCAGGGCAATTTCCTCACACCTAAAAAGCAAGGCCAACAAAGTATTTCATTGTTTCAATTTCTGCTTTGTCATGAAGGTTGTGTAAGGGATTAATCCTTGCCCTAATTTCAGGCAAATGAGTTCTAAATTGCCATGCCCCAAAGACATGATGCAGTGCGACTGCACCAAGGGCTATGGGATGCAAAAGGCAGTGCAACTGTGTGTGCAATTTCCCCATTGACTCCAGTCACGTCTGTGGATCTCCTTCACCGTCTTTGACTGGGGAGAAGGCAAAGGCAAGCGAGAGGCAAAGAATTAAGTCTTAAAAGAACTAAAACCTAGGCCAAAAGTGGGGCAGTCACATGTACACATGGTTAGGGGGGTTGTTATAAGAATTTGAAGGTCTTATATATATAAAATAGATGTTCCTAAATGTACCAAGCAAACGCATACAAATATGTAAACCACATGCCTGAAACCCACAGCAAAGTCCTGAAACCATTTTCTCTCTCCCAAAATGACCTCAAATATTTCTCTGCAAGGTCGAAGGAAAGGGGAAATCTCCCAATGTCTCTTTCACAAATCCTGTCTTAAGGGCACATTCAAGATATGAATTGGGTGTGAGCCTGTGACCTGGATTCAGGAACTGAGTAACAAAAGAGTGGCCAGGATGCCTAGGTAATCCAATCAAGCGACCTAGCAGACAAAAGAAAAAAACAACACACTCAGATCTCTGTTGTAGACAGCCTTTTCTGTGATGTATGTATGATGTTTCTGGGGGTGGTCTTGGACTCCAGGGCAGGGAATTTAAAATGTCTATATAAGGGCTTGCACACCTTTGTCCTGGGTCCCTCCCCCGCCTTCTGTGGGGTGGGGTGGGGGAGCACCCTGTTGCAACAGCTTTAATAAAGATCAGATTTATAGCCGCTTTGCTTTTGTATATCCTGGTCTGGTCTCTGTTCATTTCCCGATCGGTTTGAGCCTGAAAAGGTACGCTCTCTCCGAAGGTCCAGTCTTCCTTAAGAAGCTGAACCCCTTGATGGGACCCCATTTTTATTCTTATTTCAGGGTAGTTAGTCATAGGTAATTGTAGTCAGTGGGAACAGGCAGTGATCAATGCGCTTGTTAATTGGCCAGTGAAATTATTTTGCTTTTAGGTGACAGTCGCTGCCTGGTCGTAGATGATGATGATTTCTTCCCCCTAAACTCACTTCACTACGTCTCCCTCCTCCCAGCCCCCAATAAACATGTGTGCAATATTTAGCAGATTGGATTTCATGCACTTGATGCATCGGACTTTCAGCTTTTAAGCCGCCGCAGGAATTTTCATACTAGCCTAGGAGTGCTTGTACAATACTAACTCAACATGCACATGAAAGCAGCTTAATTCCAGCTGTCTGATTGGTTAACTCCATCACTGGGGCTCACAGTTGATGGATATAAATGAAGTGGCTTGCACTGCCCCCATTCCCATTGGATAGAAATAGCAACTTGGCTTCCAATTGGTTAAATGTAGATACTCTCCTTTTCTGTTGGTTTTCTTTTGGGTCTTGTGCTTAAAGGTAAAGGTACCCCTGTGTTGTAAACAAAAAATTGCCCTTTTCCCTTATGGGGTATCCAAGAGCCCATATAGTGTCCTTACATAGGTTCCCTATTGGTAGGAGAAGATAACAGAGGCCAACCAGAGAATATTGAGAAGCAAAGCAGCTAGTAAGCTTGATCTTTACTGAACTGTTGCAACAGGGTGCTCCCCTCACATGCAGGAGAGAGGAGGGACCCAGAAAAATGCTGTGCAAGGCCTTATAAAGACTTTTGAAATTTTCACCCTGTAGATCAAGACCACCCCCAGAAACATCATCCATCCATCACAGAAGGGGTGTAACCTAAGACCACCCCTCAGATACACCATACCTACATCACAAAAAGGCGGTCTAAACAAAAATGTGAATGTTGTTTTTCTCCTGTCCTTGTTTATCTCCTGTCTGGCAGGTTACTTGATTGGATTGCCTGGGGAGCCTGGCCAGTCTTTTGTAGTGATAAATACTTAGTTCCTGGGCCAGGTCACAGGCTCACACCCTATTCATATCTTAAATGTGCCCTTAAGACAGGATTTGCGAGGAAAGAGACAATGGGGAGGTTTCCCACTTTGACCTTGCAGAGAAAACATTTGCTCAGTTTAGGAATCAAAATGCTTCCAGGTTGGTCTTTCTGTGCTGATCTATGTACGGGCTTGGTTGGTACACTTATGAACATTACCATATATCTAAGACCTCAAAATTCCTATCACACCTGACCATTAGGTCCAGTTGTGGACGACTGTAGGGTTGCGGCGCTCATCTCGCTCTATAGGCTGAGGGAGCCAGCGTTTGTCCGCAGTCAGCTTCCGGGTCATGTGGCCAGCATGACTAAGCCACTTCTGGCGAACCACAGCAGCGCACAAAAACGCCGTTTACCTTCCTGCTGGAGCGGTACCTATTTATCTACTTGCATTTTGACGTGCTTTCAAACTGCTATGTTGGCAGGAGCAGGGACCGAGCAACGGGAGCTCCACCGGTCACGGGGATTCGAACCACTGACCTTCTGATTGGCAAGCCCTAGGCTCTGTGGTTTAGACCACAGCGCCACCCGCGTGGCACCCTGGTGTGCCTTGAATGATGGTCAGGGGTGCTGTGGGCAACCCTGGGCTCTGTCTCTCTTTCCTTCCCTCCCTCTTCTGATGCCTTCTTCCGCCTCTGCCTCCGCCTTTCAATTATTGCTGTTATAATTGCACCCCTGTTTGTAGCCAGGACAGCTGCTGCAGCTATTTCCCGAGCCGAATGGTGCCTCAGGGGGCTGGCCAGGGGGTGCTTCCCAGGCTCCTGTGGGGCAGAGTGAAGAGGCAGCTCTCTTTGGGGCAGGAGGGAGTGGCGCTCAGAGACCAGGGGTGGCATCTGCAGCTACCCAGAAGACTCCCAAGGAGTGGGGAGAGGAGATGAGGCTGAGGGAACACTCCACAAGGGAGGGCGTTTGCAAAGGGGTGACACAACTGGGCCCCTGAGCCCCACAGGGGTGCTGCAGAAAGAAGGTTGTTGGTCAAGGGATCCATGGACCCAAAAAGGTTGAAAACCTCTGGGCTTAGGGGATTGCTGCATTCTAATACTGGAAGTTATAAAAACTCTTAGTGTTGCAGCATGTGATGAGTCACACCCTGGCCAGCACTTTTTGATCTCCTGCCCTCGGGCAGAAGATATAGAAGAAGGATTAGTCACACCCACAGGGTAAAGAACAGCTTCTATGGCTGTTAGGCTGCTGAATGAAAAGATAACAACAGGGCAACTGATTTCAGATTTGGTGGGTGTGCGTCAGTAAACAAGGGGAATTAAGACTAAGAGAGCTGAGTGGGGGATGCTCGTGTAATCTCACTGTACAGTGGTACCTCAGGTTAAGTACTTAATTCGTTCTGGAGGTCCGTTCTTAACCTGAAACTGTTCTTAACCTGAAACACCACTTTAGCTAATGGGGCCTCCTGCTGCCGCCGCGCCGCCGGAGCACGATTTCTGTTCTCATCCTGAAGCAAAGTTCTTAACCTGAAGCACTATTTCTGGGTTAGCGGAGTCTGTAACCTGAAGCGTATGTAACCTGAAGCATATGTAACCCGAAAGTACCACTGTATACAAATTGTACAAGTGACAATAAAGTACTTCAATTATTGCTGTTATAATTGCAAAAGCAATTATTGCAGACCTTGGAAAGTAGGGTACAATAGAAGCCTGGTATCTGAATACTATTCTGTTGGGGTTACCCCCCCTTTTTTCTGGGCTCAAGGAGCTTTGAGAGAGAAAGATTAGAAAGGAATTGACTGCTGATCTTTGGAATAAGCTTTGAACCACTACAGCCAACCGCTAAATGTACAAAGTAACCAGTTACTAAAATCTAGTTTCTGGTGTATATGAGCAGAGAAGCCAGCTGCTTTTAATGGTGGATTTTTAAACCCAAAGTTTCAAACTCTTTTAATGATAATAATCCTCTCCAAATAGCATTTTCATAACGTCATTTAGTACGGACTTCTTTGAAATCAAACCATGAGGAACGACGGAGAACTGAGCTATATCCAGGCAGAATTAACACTGCTTAAACCTTGCTGTTTCATAAGCGCAATTAGGTTTTTCGCCTCAATAACGGCAAGGAAGGCAAACTATAAGTAAGTGGAAATGTCTAATACGTTTTAAAAACTCAAAAGAAACGTTCTACCTTTTGGCAGAAACCAACAGCGCTCTCGGAACGCGCCAAATCTCGAGTTTGAATTTGATTGGCCGATTCAGCCTGCCAGTCACTCACCCAATCGGGGGAATAAGGGGGTGGAGCCTAACTGTTTCAGGCTGAAGTTTTCCCTCCGGTCCGATTATACCATACATAAACAGAAACGCAACGCCGAGCCGCTTCACTTCGGGGGAGACGTCGCAAAGAACAAGTCATGTCTGGTCGTGGCAAAGGAGGCAAGGGGCTCGGCAAAGGAGGCGCCAAGCGCCACCGCAAGGTTCTCCGAGACAACATCCAGGGCATCACCAAGCCCGCCATCCGACGCTTAGCTCGCCGAGGCGGAGTCAAGCGCATCTCGGGGCTCATCTATGAAGAAACGCGCGGAGTGCTCAAGGTCTTCCTAGAGAACGTCATCCGCGATGCGGTCACTTATACGGAGCACGCCAAGAGGAAGACTGTCACGGCCATGGATGTGGTCTACGCCCTGAAGCGGCAGGGACGCACTCTGTACGGCTTCGGAGGCTAAGCTCCCCACAGCACATCATAATAATTCTCAAAAGGCTCTTTTAAGGGCCACTCAAATCTTTCTTAGAAAGAGCTGTAGACACTGCTTAAGAACTTAAAGCTTTAAAATCTTTCCCCACTGCTGGGATGGACCGTAATCCAAGAAAGTGCGGCAAAAAATACACTAATCTAGTTACTCACCCTTTGGGAAGGTTCTAAAACTCAAATGGTTTCTAGAGCTAGAGTGGTGTAATGGTGGTGTCAGATGCAAGACCAAGGCTAAAGTTATTCACGAAGTGACTGGTGCCAACCTAACATACCTTACCTTACCGGGTTGTCCTTAGGGTGGGAAGGGCGGGCTGTAAACTGCCTTAAACTACTTGAAGGAAAGGTGGGGTATAAGTAAATAAGTAAGCTGGGTTGAGTGAGGTGCCACAGGGGAAGTAGTCATGCTTTTTGTTCCCCATTTGCCCCTTTCAAGTTATACGTAGTTTGAACCAATGAAATGGTGAAATTATCAAATCAGCCAATCTGTGTATGTGGCGAATGTTACAAAATGCACGAGGCCTCATTAATCATAGAATCATGGTAGAGTTGGAAGGGACCCTGACAATCATCTAGTGCATGGGTAGGCAAACTTAAGGCCCGGGGGCTGGATCTGGCCCAATCGCCTTCTCAATCCAGCCCGTGGATGGTCTGGGAATCTGTGTGTTTTTACATGAGTAGAATGTGTCCTTTTATTGAAAATGCACCTCTGGGTTATTTGTGGGGCATAGGAATTCGTTCACTACTTTTTTTCAAAATATAGTCCAGCCCCCCACAAGGTCTGAGGGACAGTGCACCGCCCCCCTGCTGAAAACGTTTGCTGACCCCTGATCTAGTGAATCCCCCGCAACGCAGGAATATGCAGCTGTCCCATATGGGAATCGAACTTGCTAATAAAGCATTATGAAGAAAGCATTAAGTTGCCTGTTTAAAAGGTAAAGGGACCCCTGACCATTAGGTCCAGTCGTGGCTGACTCTGGGGTTGTGGCGTTCATCTCGCTTTATTGGCTGAGGGAGCCGGCGTACAGCTTCCGGGTCATGTGGCCAGCATGACTAAGCCGCTTCTGGCAAACCAGAGCAGTGCACGGAAACGCCGTTTACCTTCCCGCCAGAGTGGTACCTATTTATCTACTTGCACTTTGACGTGCTTTCAAACTGCTAGGTGGGCAGGAGCAGGGACCGAGCAACAGGAGCTCACCCCATCGCGGGGATTTGAACCGCTGACCTTCTGATCAGCCAGCCCTAGGCTCTGTGGTTTAACCCACAACACCACCCACGTCCCTAAGTTGCCTGTTTAGAGGGCACCTAATGCAGCGCCTTGTATATATACATGGAATATTTCTGCTTTCGGATATTCACTTATTTCCCCCCCCCTTTTTTTTTTACTTCTGACAATAGATTCCTTTGCCCTTCCCGAAAGCAGGATAGGAGCACAGTCATTATAAGGATCTGTGCTGCGTGATGCATAAAAGCAATCAGGTATGTTAAGGTAACATTTATTTAGGGAATGTACTTAAAGACATTCCCATGGATTAGTTACCTAGTCATGCTTTATGAGCAGGGAGCAGGAACTAGGTGGATTTCATGTTTGCCCCATTCAATGCACGCCTGTGGCTGAAACGAAGGATTGAGGCTGAGGAGGATGTGTTAAAGGGACACTTAGAATCATAGAATTGTAGAGCTGGAAGGGACCCAAAGGTCATCTAGTCCAACCCCCTGCAACGCAGGAATCTCAGCTATGGGCTACTATTAAAATGAGGCTGCATTTTAAATTGTATCTTAACCTGTATTTTAAATTGGTTTCTCACCCCCCCCATTATGTTTTTATTGTAATTTTACTGGTGTTAGCCGACTTGAGCCCGGGTCTGGCCGGGGAGGGCGGGGTATAAATAAAAACATATTATTATTATTATTAAAGCATCAGAGACACATGGGCGGGAGCATGTGAATATGATCTGATTGTTGAATATTTGGTGAACCTTTCACAGACTAAGAAAAAAGTTTGCTCACAGTTGTCTTTCTCTCGGTCGGTCGCAGTAAAAGTTGTTTTTTTTTACCCGCCAGTAGCAAATGCCTCGGCATCATCCTCTTACATATGTAAAAGACGGGATTGTAAAATACACGTTTCCTATTGGAAGCCTGCTTTGGCGGCTCTTTCCATTGATCAAAAACGAGAACCTTGCTTTTCATTGGTTGGTTTAAGCCCGATGGTCTCTCCAGCCAATCACGGGCCGCGATTTACAAGTCAATGGAACGCATAAAAAGCTGAAAGTTCCCTTTCCGAATTCTAGCTCGTTGCGAGTAGTACGTCGGTTTCGATCGAAGAGAAGAACTCTGCCATGTCTGGACGCGGGAAGCAAGGAGGCAAAGCTCGGGCTAAGGCCAAGTCTCGCTCTTCGCGGGCCGGCCTGCAGTTCCCGGTCGGCCGCGTGCACCGCCTGCTTCGGAAAGGCAACTACGCCGAGAGAGTCGGCGCCGGGGCTCCGGTTTACATGGCTGCCGTGCTCGAATATCTGACCGCCGAGATCCTGGAGCTGGCGGGCAACGCGGCCAGGGACAACAAGAAGACGCGCATTATCCCTCGTCACCTGCAGCTGGCCATTCGCAATGACGAGGAGCTGAACAAACTCCTGGGCAAAGTGACCATCGCGCAGGGCGGAGTCTTGCCAAACATCCAGGCTGTTCTGCTGCCCAAGAAGACCGAAAGCCACAAGGCGAAAAACAAGTAAAAGTTCCAAACTTTTCGAGCAGCCTGAAAACCAAACGGCTCTTTTAAGAGCCACCCACGGTGTCAAAAGAGGAGCTGTGATTCTGGTTTGCTAAAATCGAGCGAGTAGAAATAAACAATATATTTAGTGCGTTTTTATACACAAAAGCAGGCGGCTAGAGAAACTTGATTTGGTTAGACTAAGGCTCTTAAGTTATCCAAGAAGGTCAAGCCAGTATAAAAAGACTGGGGGTAATAGTCTTTAAAGAAGACTAGCAATTCCAAATTGTCGAAAAAGGGCTTCCGGGTTACTTCGGACGCCATTTTCTTGTTTTGTTTCGTGAGTTGTATTTCTAGAGCCTCCCACTAGCTTTCCAAAGTCTTGACACGTTAGTGTGTCGGCTGCAGTATGTAGGTGTGTCGTGCAAACTGAAAAAGAGTTCGCTAGTAAAGCTGAATTACTGTGTCACCAACATGAAAGGTTTGGAAAGCTCTACTCTAGATTAAAGTGGAAGCAAAAAGACTATTGCGCTTTCTTACTTGGGTCTTCAGTAAGAAATGTATCTGCACTCGAAGTCCTTCGCTTTTAGCCTCGTATTGCTGACTGCTGAAGCAAAGACTAGTTTTCACAGGCCTGCAGTTTCTAAGCAACATCGGACGCCCCATATTCAACACTTTCCAAAAACTACCAAGGTACACGTCAGCTGGGGGTCCATGATCTATTCTTAATTTAAGGAAACTGCAGACGTGGGGGGGGGGGGGAGTTCGCAGTAGCCCGGTTTGTTTTGCGACCCCTTTCATCACAACAGTTGCTGTAGCAAAGGGCTTCATCGCCTCCCTCTGTTTTCCTGTAATCCACTTAGCAATGTCGATTGCCGGTTTCTTGAATTCCTATCTCCAAAACAAAAATCCGATCACTTCCGGGGTAGTTTGTAATCAGGATGGCTAAGCAATGTTTCCAAATGGCGGTGAAACTTATGTCCCCGCCCCTCGCTCTGCCTTTTGTCGATGGGAGCAGATTGCAACAAAACACTAGCTTCTTTAAATTGCCCCTTCCAAACCAATAACTCGACTGAATGTGATTGGAAACGCCTGGCGCTCCAATTCTTTGAGGGTCTGAATTCAGACCCTCGCAATGCAAGATTTTAATATATCAAATCGGAAGCTGGCGGTGTGTGCGTGACTCTACCCTTTCTGATCTCTTATGGCGGTTAACGTAATAGGGGAGAATGAAGCAAATACCCAATCGCGAACAAGCCCGGGAATTTCAAATGTTTCCAACGGCTACATGGCTATTTTCAGCCAATCAGAACAAAGCGAGCGAGCTATATAAATGGTCTGCACGCAGGCTGCTTGCTCAGTTTGGTTCCCGACGAAGGCGAAGGTAGAGAAGTTGGTATTTGCTGCAAGAAGGAATGGCTCGCACCAAGCAGACCGCTCGCAAGTCCACCGGCGGGAAGGCTCCGCGCAAGCAGCTGGCCACCAAGGCAGCTCGGAAGAGCGCACCGGCCACAGGCGGCGTGAAGAAGCCTCACCGCTACCGCCCGGGCACCGTCGCTCTGCGCGAGATCCGCCGCTACCAGAAGTCCACGGAGCTGCTGATCCGCAAGCTGCCTTTCCAGCGCCTGGTGCGCGAGATCGCGCAGGACTTCAAGACGGACCTGCGCTTCCAGAGCTCGGCCGTGATGGCTCTGCAGGAGGCCAGCGAGGCGTACCTGGTGGGGCTCTTCGAGGACACCAACCTGTGCGCCATCCATGCCAAGAGGGTCACCATCATGCCCAAAGACATCCAGCTGGCGCGCCGCATCCGTGGCGAGAGGGCTTAAAAGGGAGCCGCAGCCAGCCGCTCTCACTCTCCGCCACCCACCCACCCAAAGGCTCTTTTTAGAGCCACCACTCCTTCAAGAAAAAAGCTGAAGTCACATTTCTGCCACGATTGCGTGTGCCGCTTGGTGCTTTCGCAGTGTATGTCGCCTTAGCCGTCCCTATAGCCATGTAAAATGAATCTTACTGGGGTGCCCGAGAAATACCCGAAGAACTGCTAAACTAAAATAGCTTCACTTTTCTTTCCCCCGCTTTAAAAATTAGATCTCGGACGTTCACAGCATAAAAATACAGATAAACAAAACAGAATAAACATATGCCAGTTAACCCCGATTAATGTGAACTTACAAGAGAAAGCCCACTGAGTACCAACATCACCTAAAGCAAAATTTTAGGCTCCAGGTAAGTTACAAAGTTTATTGGCAAAGCCACTAAGGTTAGTAAAGCAGTTTTTCATAGGAATAGTGATTCCGCGGTGCAAACGTGAAGTCCATGTAGTGTACCCCCGCCCCAAATCAGCCATTTGCATGGCTGCGTCTGTGGAACTAATGGGATGTATGCACAGTGTTCAAAACCTAACACCCCTGAAGCCAGCTTCTAGGTTTATTCAGAAGGAATATTCATTGCCCGCGCTCCCAAGATTTCTAGTTTAAAAACACAGCTTCCGCCCTCTTAACTTTGTGGCAAGATTGGGTTTTATGTACATGATGAAATTGCGGATACGCACGTTTGCTTCCAAAGAAGCGATAAAGCCCTTTTGAGTGAGAAAGTGGGTGGCCCTTAAAAGGGCCTTTTAAAAGCGATTATTTTCAGTATGGAGCTTAGCCTCCGAAGCCGTACAGCGTGCGTCCTTGCCGCTTCAGGGCGTAGACCACATCCATGGCCGTGACAGTCTTCCTCTTGGCGTGCTCCGTGTAAGTGACCGCATCGCGGATGACGTTCTCCAGGAAGACCTTGAGGACGCCGCGCGTTTCTTCGTAGATGAGCCCCGAGATGCGCTTGACTCCGCCTCGGCGAGCCAAGCGTCGGATGGCGGGCTTGGTGATGCCCTGGATGTTGTCTCGCAGAACCTTGCGGTGGCGCTTGGCGCCTCCTTTGCCGAGCCCCTTGCCTCCTTTGCCACGACCAGACATGACTTGTTCTTTGCGACGTCTCCCGAAGTGAAGCTGCTCGGCGTTGCGTTTCTGTTTATGTATGGTATAATCGGACCGGAGGGAAAACTTCAGCCTGAAACAGTTAGGCTCCACCCCCTATCCCCCGATTGGGTGAGTGACTGGCAGGCTGAATCGGCCAATCAAATTCAAACTCGAGATTTGGCGCGTTTCGAGAGCCCTGGGGGTTTTTACCCAAAGGTTTACTGATCACAACGTTTCTTTTAAGATTCTCATAACATTTGTGAGAGTATATTTCCACTATTTACAGAATATATTTTTCCAAAATCGTGTAGTCATTTCTAATTTCAAATCGCAAGCCCACTGTTGTTTTGCTTCTTTCCTTCTCTTTAAAGAAACCTCTGTGCTTTTCCGTTCTTGAGGAGAAAAGCGTAAAGAGGGTTTATATCGACTGAAACTGTTAGGTTTAAGCGACTTGAATTCTGCCTTTGGTTGTGACTCAGTTGGTGTCTCCTCCTCTGTAGTTTGGCTTTAAGGATGCCCACCTTAAACCACCCAGTAAATAAGTTATTTGGAGAGGATTATTGTTATTATTACAGCTGAAACAATAGGTTTAAAATCCCACTCTTAAAAGTTTTAACTCTGCACATACTACATGCCAGAGATTAGATTTTTTTAAAGTGATTGTTTTCTACATATGCAGAATACATCTGCTCCATTGCACCCCCACTTAAATAAGTTTGTAAGAGCATGCTAATAACATTTAGCTTGGAAATAGGAGCTTTTCAGTTTTGATTTGTTTTTCTCATGGCGGCTGCTTCTCCTTGCCCTCTTCAGAGCAAAGGGTGGAGGAGGAATTGATTGAATTTGGGAAGAGGACAGGCCTTTTTTTCCTTCAAGAGGAGAGGGAATTCTGGCAGGAGCAATTTGACATGTAGGGAGCATCTACTGAAAGCCGCCCCCTTCTGTGCCACTAATAATACTACCAGGCTTCTCTCATCTTCTGCATTTCATCCCTTGCTGAGATTACACTGGGTATTAAGCAACCCAGGACAGTGTTTGGAAATTTGACCTAGCATGCAGAGGCTTTTTTTCATGCAGAGGTTTTTTTTTTTATGCCGCCTCCCATCAGAAGTCAAGGAGATAAAGGACTACGCAACTTGCAGAAGACATCTGAAGGCAGCCCTGTATCGGGAAGTTTTCAGTGTTTGAAGTTATATTATGTTTTTATATGTGTTGGAAGCCACCCAGAGTGGCTGGGGCAACACAGTCAGATGGGCAGGGTACAAATTAATCATCATCATCATAACAATGACCTGGCTCCACATGGCAATTGTTAGGTAAAGGTAAAGGGACCCCTGACCATTAAGTCCAGTCGTGGCTGACTGTGGGGTTGCGGCGCCCATCTCGCTTTATTGGCCGAGGGAGCCGGCGTACAGCTTCCGGGTCATGAGGCCAGCATGACTAAGCCGCTTCCTCCCGCTTCCCGGAAGAGCGGTATCTATTTATCTACTTGCACTTTGACATGCTTTCAAACTGCTAGGTTGGCAGGAGCAGGGACTGAGCAACGGGAGCTCACCCCGTTGCGGGGATTCGAACCGCCGACCTTCTGATCGGCAAGTCCTAGGCTCTGTGGTTTAACCCACAGCGCCACCTGTGTCCCGCATGGCAATTGTTATGCTACTCTAAAACAAGCTCACATTTTGGACCTCTTAAGCAAACATGTTTTATTTTTAATCTACATCCTCCATAATACAAGTTGCAGTAAGGCTGGCTTTACTTAAGACCTAACAATGGGTTCTTTCTCCCAGTCTTCCTCATTATCGTCGTCATCGCCGTAATCTTCCGTCTCACCACCGCGCTTCCCCAGATCATCAAATTGCTGAAATGAGTAGTAGATGGCCCCACGCTTGGGCGAAGGGGAGCGGAAAATCATATCAGGCACAGAGTCCCAGTTGGGCATCATGGGGGTGGGACTTTCTTGCTTCAGGATCCAGAAGAAAGAATACACGGCTAGAGCCACCACGACGAAGGATGTGAGGAATCCCCCGACGACCCCCGTCACCAGTGGAGTGACCCACTGAAAGATACTCCTGTTGTATGGTGGCAGGGGCCTCCTTTCTATAATCAGCTCCAATTTGTCCCAATCCCCCTCTTCCAGCTGGGCCTGAGATCCCTCTCTCCGCAGCCGGCCTCCTGGCCCCTCGCTCCCACCCATCTCGTTCTCTTCCAGGAGCAGCGAAGAGGTCAAGCGTTGGACCGTCTTGTGATATCCCTCCACGTTCTTCTTGATCTCCAGACTCTTGTCTTGGTTGAGGTTCTTGCCCAGTTCCAGGGAGACGTCGGGACGCCCGACGGCTTGGAGAGCCCTCGACAGGCGGTCCCAATACATGGCGTCTCCTTCCGTCTCCAGCCAGCCGTTGAGGGTGGCTTTGCAGGCCTCGGTGGTGGCGATTTCCCGCCGCCTGCGGATGGGGTTCCTCTCTGCCGAGAGGCGTTGGAGCTCTTCGTTCACGTTCTCCTCGGGTCCAATGAGCTTGGCGTAGAAGGCCTGGCATTCCTCGGGGGACAGGAGCTCCGAGATGCGGCCCATCATGTGGCTGCCAATGTCGTCGGCCACCGTGTCGTCGGGCAAGGCAGGATGCACCAGGAGGAAAAGGGCTGTTCCGATGAGAATCAGCATTGAGGAAGTCCTGGAGCCTGAGAGAAGAGAGCATAGCTGTCAACCTTCCCATATTTGGCGGGAAACTCCCTTATTCCAGCGCCGTTTCCCGCTGCTATCCTGGATTGTTGCTACCTCGTAAATTTCCCGGATTTCAAAGGAAGCAGCTCCTCCCCCTCCCGGCTCCCCGCCGGCCAGGGAGGCTCCTCGACTGCGTTGCTCGGCTGCCCAATAAGGAGTCTAAGAACGACTGGGGGGTGGAGCTTGCATGCCTTGTGCTGATCAAATCGGCCGCATTGCCTGGGGACTTGCCTTTGCTCAGCGCTTCCCAGCGGAGAGGTGACAGTGGTTTTCCTTGCTGCATCCCCTTTGCCGGGTTGCTGCACTGTGGGAACCACCGCTTGAGGCTTCGTTTGGCTGCTGGCTGGGCTTTCTGCCTTCGGGCCTTTGGGCCTTGTGTGTGTGTGTGTGTGTGTGTGTGTGCGCGCACGTGCGTGCATGTGTGTGTGTGCGAGAGAGAGAGAGAGAGAGAGAGTGAATGTGTCACTTAAGCTGATAGTAGGAATGTTGTAGCTTCACACACTCACCTTCACACAATGTGTAATTAACTTGGGGAATTTTTTTACCGCAGGATGTGGTGAGGTCAGTACTTTAGATTTACAAGGGGATCTGAGAGATGAATGGGAGATATGGTTTGACAGCTAAATAGAAACTTAACCCCAAAAGTTAGGACCAAGATTCAAATCCTGACCGGGTAACTTTGCTCACTAGTAACATTGAACCATGAGGACGAGATGGTTGGACAGTGTTCTCGAAGCTACCAGCATGAGTTTGACCAAACTGCAGGAGGCAGTGGAAGACAGGAGGGCCTGGGACAGGTGAGGCTGCTGATCTCTTATTTTTGAGGCTGCTGATCCCTTACAGTGGTACCTCGGGTTACATGCACTTCGGGTTACACACTCCGCTAACCCAGAAATAGTGCTTCAGGTTAAGAACTTTGCTTCAGGACAAGAACAGAAATCAGGCTCTGGCGGCGCGGCGGCAGCAGGAGGCCCCATTAGCTAAAGTGGTGGTTCAGGTTAAGAACAGTTTCCGGTTAAGAACGGACCTCTGGAATGAATTAAGTACTTAACCTGAGGTACCACTGTATTTTCAAATCTGAAAGTTGACAGCTATGGAAGAGAGTAGCCAGGAGAGGAAAGAGATGGGTATCTGTCTGGAGAAGGGAGCAAAGAGCCTGTGTGGAGTACTGCTTAGAGGATTGGACTAGAGGGTTGCGAGACAAGGGTTCAAATCCCCACTCAACCCGGAGCCCACTGGCTTATCTTGGGCCAGTCACTGCTTTTCAAAGTAACCTACATCAAAGGGTTGCTGTGGGAATTAAATTTCTCTGTGTTTCTGCAGTGCTGTAGCACGCACAAAACACCCACGGTTTCTCTACTGCAAAGGTGTCCTGTTTTGAGAAGGGGAATTTGGCAGCTGAGTGCCTTTACAACTGTGTTTGTGTGAGTGTGTGAATTTTGCAGAATGGCAGGAACTTGGGTGTCCATGGAATAAACAGGACTACAATAATTACTGGCCATCGTGAATGCCTGAAATCTTTCTGGGATATGATGTAGTAGTTGAGATGGAATAATAATAATAATAACAACAATAATAATACAGTGGTACCTCCGGTTAAGAACTTAATTTGTTCCAGGGGTCCATTCTTAACCTGAAACTGTTCTTAACCTGAGGTACCACTTTAGCTAATGGGTACTGCGCTGCTGCTGTGCGATTTCTGTTCTCATCTTGAACCAAAGTTCTTAACCTGAGGTACTATTTCTGGGTTAGCAGAATCTATAACCTGAAGCATCTCTAACCCGAGGTACCACTGTAATAATGTTGTTGTTGTTTAGTCGTTTAGTCGTGTCCAACTCTTCGTGACCCCATGGACCAGAGCATGCTAGGCACTCCTGTCTTCCATTGACTCCCGCAGTTTGGTCAAACTCATGCTGGTAGCTTCGAGATAATAATAATAATAATAATAATAATAATAATAATAATAATAATAATAATAATATACTTATTTATACCCCACCCATCTGATTGGGCTGCCCCAGTCACTCTGAGCAGCTTCCAACATATATAAAAACATAATAAAACATTAAGCATTAAAAAAAACTTCCCCACACAGGACTGTCTTCAGATGTCCTCTCAAGGTTGTCTAGTTACTGAACTCCACACCCTCCAACATTTCTCTGATGGAAAGAGGGATGATGTCCTAAGGAAAAGTGGGACATTCCGGGATCAAATCGGAAACCAGGACAGCTTCTGTAAACCTGGGATTGTCCCAGGAAAATAGGGACACTGTGAGGGTCTGGAACCCATTTATGCTACTTTGAGATCCTTGGAGGAAAAGGAGAGCTAGAAATGCAGTGAAATGAATAAATAAAACATCACGAGATCTTGTCTTCTTTCTCCACATATAAGGTTCGGCTCTGAGGGAAGGCTGGCTGTGAAGCGATTTTAAGTTGGGGACAAAGAGAGAGGGTTACCTGGCTTAACTCCCAGAACAGGGGACGTCTCTCTCGGAATATCGCAGAGCAATTGCTGTGGAATTTTAAATCTCCTTGAGTATCTGATGTCATAAACGGAGGCGGAAGTCCACTTCCATTCTGCCTACGGGGAGAGGAGCTTGTGGCTGAGCTCAGCTACAACTCCCACCACCATTGGCCACGCTAACTGGTGCTGATGGGAATTGTAGTTCAGCAGTTGTTGGAGATTCCTCAGCCCTGAAGGAAACTGGGGTAGTTGTTGCCAGTCAGTGCTGACAACACTGAGGTAATTGAACCACTTGATATAAGGCAGTGACAGCCCGCCAGATGTTTTGGGACTACAACTCCCATGATCCCTAGCTAGCAGGACCACTGGTCAGGGATGATGGGAACTGTAGTCTCAAAACATCTGGAGGGCTGAGGATGAGGAAACCTGGGTGAGATTGACTGTTTTCAACCTTGTAATTTTTATCAACCAGCAGGGGGCAGTACTCTGCCGAAGATTTCTCCTACCTAGAGAAAAGTTGATAATTTTATTATTTATTGGTTATTTATAAATGACCTTCTCTCCAGTTCAAGACTCTCGAGGTGGGTTGGCTGTTGGTCATGATGCCATAGATTCAGGTAAGGTGACCAGGATTGCTGATGACACTAAGCATGTGAATGAGTCAGCATTAGGTCTCTGGCCGGATGGCTGAAAGAGAAAAAGATTTATGTTGCTTTATTTGTTTTTTATTTATTTATTAAAGACCAGTGTAAAGTTTTGTAAATAATAAAGGCTCTGAGAAATAGAACCAAATGGTGTTTATTCCTGTAATGGGAATTTCACTAAGAGATAGCTGGAATGCTGCTGCTGAAAGAAGTAAAAGATGGAGGAAAACGTTTGTGTAAAAAAACTCTGCCACAGAAAGAAATGAAAACCCAAGAGGAGATGCTCACGCCCCAAGATGCACATGAGCTACTATATTATTATTATTATTATTATTATTATTATTATTATTATTATTATTATTATTATACACCGTCCTTCGAGGTGAAGCCGCAGGTAAAATGCTGTGTACATACCTGGTCACCATACCAGGGGCAGAATCACATACCCTCCAACATTTCTCTGATGAAAATAGGGATACCCTATTCCATTTTTATTTTTTATTTTTTATTATTTTTAAAAATATTTTATTAACGTTTTCTTGCTTTACAAAGGTATGCGCAATGTCTCTTTTTTCAAGTTACATTTTCCATAGGTCTGTTTCATTTGTTGAGACGTTAGGGTTACATTGGGAAGAAAAAAGGGGGGAAGAGGTGGAGGGGGGAAAGGCGTGTGGGGGTGGGGCCAGGAGGCGATATTTCTATTTTGCTTAATGTATGTGTGGGTTTTTGTGTCAGGTTCTCTTTGCTATTCGCTTGTGTACCTTTGGCGGTGAGAGAAATTGTGGCTGGCCTAGGGTGCAGTTGCTATTTTGTGATTGGCTGTGTTGAACTTTGTTTTCGTGTGTGAGTGAGAGGTGTGTGTGTGTGTGTGTGTTTGAATCAAGTTAGCCATATTAATTCATATGCTGTTGGTGGATTCTTGTATTCCGTTTTTATTTTTATATTACAGTGGAACTTCTACTTACGGACGTACAGTGGTACCTCAGGTTAAGTACTTAATTCGTTCCGGAGATCCGTTCTTAACCTGAAACTGTTCTTAACCTGAAGCACCTTTAGCTAATGGGGCCTCCCGCTGCCGCCGCGCCGCCAGAGCCCGATTTCTGTTCTCATCCTGAAGCAAAGTTCTTAACCTGAAGCACTATTTCTGGGTTGGCGGAGTCTGTAACCTGAAGCGTATGTAACCTGAGGTACCACTGTAATCAGTTCCGGAGGTCCGTCCATAAGTCGATCCGGGTCGCTGGTAGAAGTGCTGTTGTGTGCAGGTGCATTTGGCGGCAGCGCACTTCTGCACATGTGCAGATGGCGGCAGCCGCTTCTGCGCATGCGCGAATCATGACAAACCCGCCTGGTATTTACTTCCTGGTTTGCCATGGTCGCAACTTGGATCGGGCCCAAATAAATGCGGTGGCAAGTAGAGGTTCTGTTGTATTATTATTATTATTATTATTATTATTATTATTATTATTTATTAATACCTCACCCATCTGACTGGGTATGCCCCAGCCACTCTTGGCAGCTCCCAACATATATAAAAACATAATAAAACATTTTAGGAAAACTTCCCTATGCAGGGCTGCCTCCAGGGGTCTTCTGAAGGTTGTATAGTTCCTTATTTTGTTGGCTCGGGAGTCACATACCTGCCAACATTTCTCCAATGAAAAGAGGGACGTCCTAAGGAAAAGCGGGACATTCTGGGGTCAAATCAGAACCCGGGACAGCTTCTGTAAATCCAGGACAGTCGCTGGAAAACAGGGAGACTTGGAGGGTCTGTGTCTATAGGGTGACGGTCTCAGCACAAAGGGAGAAGAGAATCCAAATTCAAGTGTTGAGAATAGAAGGTGCAAGGGGAGGTGTAGTATTTGGCCTCCCAAATTCTTGTATTTCTGCATGGGCAGGCACAGTATTCTCCTATGACCACTTTCAGCCACTATTTCGCTGTTGTGATCTTTTTTTAAAAAAAAATATGTATTTTTATTAAAGATTTTCCTGATTTACAAAAATATGTGCAATGTCTCTCTCTCGTTTCCCCCCCATGTAACATTTTTACAAATCAGTTTCATTTGTTGAGACATTAGGAAGAAAAGGGGGGAAGAGGTGGGGGGGTTGGGTAACAATGTTTCTATTTTACTTAATATATGTGGGGTTTTGTGTCAGCCTTGCTGTTTCTTGTGTTCCTTTGGTGGTGAGAGAGGTTGGGGTTGGCCTAGGGTGTGGCTGTTCATTTGTGGTCGGCTGTGGTGGTCTTTGTTTTCGTGTGTGAGTGGGGTGGGTGGGTGGGTGTTTTGGATCAGGTTAGCCATACCGATCTGTATGCTGTTGGTGGATTTTTGTCATTGTCTTGTTGGGCTGTGTGTGTGATAAAGTGGTGAAGGCGTCTTCTTCTATTTGTCCCCGTCAGTTTCAGTTTATTACTTAGTTTTTCTAGTAAGGCTGTTTCCCATACTATTTGGTACCATTGGTCCATGCTTACTCCTGACAGGTCTCTCCAGTGTCTGGTTATGATGTTTCTGGCTGCTGAAAGTAGGTGGGTGATGAGTTCTTGGTGGTGTAAGTGGGCATTATTGTCTTGGAAGCATAGCTTTTTTTGCAGGAAATTTCCTTATTCCAGTGCCGCTGCTATCCCAGATTGTTAGATATCCCGTAGACTGTCCCCGGGATAGGTGAGGCTGCTGATCCCTTATTTTCGAGGCTGCTGATCCCTTATTTTCAAATCTGAAAGTTGACAGCTATGCTTGGAAGATGCTTGCTGTTGTGATCTTTTAAGAAGTTCATGTTTCTCGCATCTTTCTAATTGCAGCCTTGGATTTGTGTGTATATATATGTGTGTGTGTGATCTATCGAGAACTTCTACTAGCTGCCAGAGCGCCTCTTAGAAAAGCACAGTGCTTTCATTGTTCCCTGCAAAGAATCTCCCCCACCACCCCACACACACTTAAAAAAAGAAAGAAAAAGAAAGTTACTGCCTTGCTGTGGAATGAAAACAAATAATCCAGGGTTTGTGACTGAGCAAAGAGGCCCACGAAGGGTCCCCTCCTTGAATTTCATTCATAGATTCCAAAGGGCAGAGAAGCCCTTTTGAAACACTTCTCTCTTCAAGCTGGGCTGAAGTTCGAAAAATGCTATTTAATTGAGTTGCAATTAAGGCGATCCCTCTGGGCCTTCCTTTTCCCCGGGAGAAATAGTTCATTGGATGCGATACTTGCAGACGAAATGCCGCGGCCCAGAATTTTGCACATCGCAGGGGGTTCGATCGCACATTCTTCCGCCAGCGAGTTTGTAGCTTGGATGGTGTGGCGGAGAGACAAGAGGCCTCTGTTGAGGCAAAATTGTGGCCTTTGCACATCTGGCATTCATTGGCCGTTGCGTCAGGGGCCAGAAGCAGATCTCTCCCCCAAGCTAGCAAAAGGTTTTTTAATTATCGAAAGCTCACAACTGGTCCATTCTCCTGGTTCCCTCGATTCATGTGCGCCGGCTGATTTCGAGGCATTTGGAAACCTGTCCTTTAGAGCACTGAAAGGAGGAGTGTTGAAAGAACTGTGTATCTGGATGGCACTAGAACCACAGAATTGTAGTTGAAAGGGACCCTGACGGTCATCTAGTCCAACCCTCTGCAAAGCAGGAACAGCTGCCCCATACGGGAATCGAACCTGCAACTTTGGCGTTTATCAGCATTATACTCTAACCAACCCAGCAATGGGAAAAGGTATTGGGAAATGACAGCAAGGACACATAATAACTGATCACCGCCTTACAAGGAGTGAGGCAGCAGAGTGCTGGACTTTACCTCTCCGGACAACAAGTGGGGTGTCATTTTTTTGTGTTCTTTCACATAAACTGTGGTGTGTAATGGTTAGAGCACTGGACTAGGACCTGGGAGGCCACTGTTTGAGGCCCCACTCAGCCATAACGTTCACTGGGTGAACTTGGGCCAGTCGTTCCCTCGCAGCCTAACCTACCTCACAGGGCTGTTGTGAGGATAAGGTGTATGTACATTATTAAGAAATAATAATAATCTACTGCCTGCATGTAATAAATTAGCACAGGTAGAGTAATAATAATATTTATTAGGCACTGTTTCACGGGGGGGGGGGGGAGTAAACAAGGGTAAAAACAAGAATTAAACAACCTAAAATACAGGTTGGTATGTAAATGTAAGAAATAATAATAATCTACTGCCGGTATGTAATAAATTAGCACAGGTAGATTAAGGAAAAAAAATATTTATTAGGCATTTTTTCCTCAGAAAAAAGAAGCAAGGGTAAAAAAGGAACAAGAATAAAACAATCAAGAGATATCACACCACCCACACCCAAATCCAACTCAACCCCTCTTCACTAAAATTAAACAGGAAGATCCAAAAGCCTGGGAGAAAAAGAATTAGTTTGCCTGCTGGCTAAAAACAGAGCGCGATGGTGTCACAAGTGCCTCCCTGAAGAGAGCCTTCCATAAATGGGAGCCACCACTGAGAAGGCCTGTTCTCAAGTCACCACTCTCGGCGCTTCCCTCAGAGGGGCGCACGGAGAAAGGGGTCCGATGGTCTGGACTGGTTTGTGTGGGGAGAGGCTGTCCTTGAGGTAGTGGGTTCCTGAGCCCCATAAGGCCAGCACTTTAAATGGGGCCTGGACACCAACTGGTTGCCGGCACTGTCACACCGAGGTTGGTGGAGCACGATTCGGCCACCACACAGACAGTTGTTTGGTCAGGAGATGCATAGGGAAGACACAGGCTGTCAGCAAGCCCATGTTCCCCCTGCTCAACGAATAGGACGTGTGGTAAATGCCCTGATCCTCTCCGATCTTTTCTGTGTGAGCTCAGTGCGCACGCCGTGAGGTTCCCAAGGAGAACAAAGGATCCAATTCAGGTGTCACATGAAATAACCGAAGTACAGATGAGAAGAGAGCAGCTCTGGAAGGACCTGGAGCGGAGACATTTTGCAGAATCCGTTTTTCTGAAGAAGTCCAGCCATTTTTCTCTGCCTCGCTTTCCCTCGGCCCCAGAGAGAAAGGCCACTTTGTAGAGGAATTTCTCGAAATAGTCTCTTGTTTTATTTTTAAGTGCAGGTGTTGTTCCCCAACCCACACACACACCATGGTACCAGGGTCGGATTTAGGTTTGATGAGGCCCTAAGCTATGGGTGGCGCTGTGGGTTAAACCACAGAGCCTAGGACTTGCCGATCAGAAGTTCGGCAGTTCAAATCCCCGCATTGCTCGGTCCCTGCTCCTG